AAGTTATTTTTTTTCTTGTAAAAGTAATCGAATGTGTTAGTTTTTCAGTAACTTTTCAGTAATTTACTTAAATTCTAGTTTATTCGAAGTACGCGCGAATGAAATTTGAATTTGAATAGATGCTTTGATTAGAGTTCACGCATAACTGAAAAGTGTTGAAAATTATTTTTCATGGATTTTAGCACTGAATGATGCCGAAAATTTCATGTACGCAAACAATGCCATCTGTTTATTGAATGATGTGTGATTAAAATTAAAATAACACGGTAATATATTAACAATTTTCCAGCGTAAACCAGCCATCTGCAAAATTCGAGTCATGGACAGAACGCGTTCCGTTCAACATCAAAATCATTGTGCTTGCAAGAAAGAAAAATATTCGATTGCAATTATTCAAATTCACAAAATTTTTTTTTCAAAAAAAATTGAAGAACTTAATTGTACATAATATGAGTAATAGGTGCCGAAAATTCCATACAAATTTATTTGCCAAAATGAAACAATAGTTGAGATGCAACTTATATAGTACATATTTGCTCATAACCGACAAAAGTTTGGCAACGGTTCGCGTAAACAAATCTTAGAAAATTAAAAATCAAAATTAAAGTCATATTATGAAATTTTTTAAAGCAATCGGGATTTAACTTTTAATTAAAATACAAGCTCTAGTTTTTTACATTATGTATTTGTTTAAGGGCATATGGCAACATTTATGCATAATGACAAATATGAGTTTTCTATTCGTATTCTCTTCCATAGGATTGTAGTGTTATTATTGCAGAAATGAGGAAAAAAAACCCGTTATAAATTCTTGCCTTTGTATTTTTTTTTATTAAAGTCGACATCTAATAAAAAATGACAACCAAAATAAAAACAATAAAAATAAAATTAAATAAAAACACAAAAATGTTTAAAAAAAAAAACAAGTAAGAAAAAAAGTGGAAAAAAGTCAACTTATGGTATAGTAAAGGAGTTCCTTAATCCTTTCTTTTTAGTTTTTTTTTATTTAATTTTTTTACATACACCTGCACTTACCCTACTCACCCTATGGCAGTATATAATATACATACACAAGTACGTGCACTTCAAGGAAATTAAAGAAAATAAGTTTAGCAATAAAGGCAAAAATAATAACAGTAAATAGAAATATAAGAAAAATAAAGAAAAATAAATAGAAACGAAAAAAAAAAAACACAAAAGGAGTAACACAGCAAAAAAGAAAAAATGCAGAAGAATTTTTGTATAAAAAATGTTGTCTACATTGTATAACCGTTTTATTTTTTACCTTCCTTAACAAAAAAAAAAATAAGGAAAACAAAGTAAGAAAGAGAGCAATATAAATGTTTAAATCTTTTCCTTTTATTTTTCATTTTTCAAAAAAAATAAAATAAAAAGTAAATAACTTTACCTATATGGTAGCATTCTGGGGCCATATTCGTCTACAAAAGAACCTACCTAAACAAAAGTATCAACATAATCATATTTAACTTGATCATTATATTATAGGTATGAGACTACTTCTTCTCATTCTTCCTTTCCTAGAACACTGACATGAATATACATATATAAACAATATACTTAACAAATATGTTCTTATATTTTCATATGAGAGAAAATGACTGATATTTGACTGCAGGAACATAAAAAATAAACAAAAAAAAATGCAGTTGATCAAATTCATGGTTTCTAAAGCAGCACATTTTTCCATAAAAAATTGATTTATATTATATACTATGCTTTAGAGCTAAGGCCAAACTAAATAATTCAAACAATGTTTGTAATGTATAAAAATGATTTCCTTCCTTGTTATTATAATATTGCATATATTTAGGATGAATGTTTAAAGATAATATGTAATTTAAAAGATATCTAACATACACATATAAATAAGAAAATTAAATTAAATATTTACTTAATTAAGATAAACTTGAATATGAAATTTTTAGCGCTGGAAAAAAAGCTAGTGAAAATTAAATTATTGAACAGTCTTTTCTTAAGATAGGAGAAAGTGCTGGAGAAGTAGGAGGAGAGGGAGGAGGAAGAGGAAATGGTGGTGGTGAAGGAAGACGAGGAGGAGGAGGAGGGGTTAAAGGAAGAGGAGGAGTAAAAGCAGGTGAAAAAGGGAGGAGGAAGAGGGAGGCTCTGGAAGCAATAAATTTTACCTAAGTATGAACAACTGTGATAAAGCCAAATAAAAAATGAAAATATCAAAAAAATACAAGTATTCGAAAAAATTGAATTTTTTGTCGTTTATAAATAGCGGGAAGAAGAGATTCTTTCCAATGTTCTAAAAAGCTAAAATAAATTTTAAACAGTTTGTTTGGAATTTATTTTAGCTTTTTAGCTTTTTCCCTCTAATAGTTTTAAGGAGATTTGTAAACTAATGGAAATATGGGCAGACGGACAGACAAAATAAAATTTATTAAAGAATTTTTTCCTAAACATTAATGAAAATATACCAAAAAATAAAAAATGGGTTAGTTATTATCCTGTTCATTCCATCTTATACCTATTTTTTTTTCTTATTTTTATTTTTCATTTTAACCCACTCTAACTCATTTTTAGCACTTTTCCAAAAAAATTTTTGAAAAAAGTGCTTATTAGTTTCACTCTGTCCGTCCGTCCGTCCGTCCGTCCGTCCGTGGACACTTTTTTTGTTTACAAAACTTCTACACCCTTTAAGATAGAAAGCTGAAATTTAACATGTACATAGATCTTCACTAGAAACTTATTTCCGTAGAACAAAATTTTTACCTATCTCCCTCCCTCTAGAAGTTATACCCCCCCAAAACCCTAAAAATGGCCTTTTTTAAATATTTGTTGCAATGAAACCATAAGCATTTTTGAAATTTTGCAAACACAGAAAGGCAGTGGCTTGCTTCCCCTAGCGCGATATACTATAGTTAAACTTTAGAAAAACAAAATGGCCGTTCAAATTTACCGTTATCTAAAGTCCTTTTTTTCCAAATTTTTGATGTCGTTTTTCTTCTAGACCCCAGCCTGTAGAAGCTTGAAATTTTAGGAGCTTTTAGACATTAACAAATAGTTCATTTCGTTAGAAGAAATTTTTTTCCATCTCCACCCGCTCTCAAGTTATCACCTCTTGAAATTCGTAAAATTTGAATTTTTGACTCCTTATATTTCCGAAACCGCAAGCTTTTCCAAATTTTTATAAACGCAAAAAGCTAACGGTAAATTCCATGAAATTAAAAAATATAATTATCTTTCTTAACTCACACAATTAACCCTTAAAATCGAGCATTATGTTAACCCCATTTTAATTTAATTTTTGCTTTATTTCAAACACTGCATATATGCGTCATCCTAAATATATGCAATTCTAGAAATAGTTTTGTATATGAATGAAAATAATTTTAATAGTTTGATAGGTATACATAGACTGTATTTAAAAGCAGAATTTTCACTTGTTGAAGGGAAAAGTGCTACAATACAAACCAGTGGTTTGACCCAACTTTATTGATTTCCTTTCCACTTTAGAAAAAAAGACAAAAACAAAAATGTTACGGTAATCTTTTCATATTGTACATGAATATATATATAAGTGTATATACATATAGCATAACTGTAGATATAATGTAGATTTCATGTGCAATTTTTCTTTAAAACAAAAAAAAAAAAATTTTTTTTCCCTTTTTTTAATTTTAAATAGTAAAAAGAATATTTTTTTTGTGATGACATGTCATTGGAAATGTCAGCAGAAATGTAAACACCCGTATGTTATAATATTATAATACATGTATATACGTCAAGGATGGCATATATATAATATGGAAAATATCATATTTTTAACGAATATATAGAATTATATATGTATATGTAAATGAATTACAATAATAATATTTGTATAGAAGGTTAACATTTTAAGTGTGAAGTTTTCTTTTCATATTTTTTTTTAATATTAATTTTTTGATAAAGGAACGAACTGTTTTAATGTTTATTAATAGGGCGGTAAACAAAGAAAATATTTTTTTTTTTATCGTATAAAGGTATTATACAAATAAATAAATATTTACATACATATATGTATAACATTATATTATGGAAATTATTATAAATGTATACAAGATGAAAGATTTTTTATTATAATGAGAAGAATAGTCCAATTCCACTATAGTACAATCGGTAACTTTTATTTTACATATATAAGAAAAATACCGAAGGCATACATAGGCAGAACAAAATAATTAAAAACAAAAAACGGAAAGTTTCTCTCTCTCTCTCTATTTAAAAGGTTTTTAAAAAATTTTCATTTTCTCATGCAATACTAAAGAAGGAAATGATGTGTAGTATAAGGATATGGGTACATTTTGTATCTATGCATTATTATGAACATATAACATTATTTATGTACGTATATATTTATATGTATATACGTTTGTGTTCAGAAATAATAGTCAAATTGTGACCTTTAAAATTCTGTAAATATGATTCGGAAATATTTGGTTAAAATTTTATTTAATTTTTATTTCTATTTAAAATTTTAGCGTATTTTACTTAAAAAAATGTTTCCATCATTTCCAAATACATTAAGCCTCATATAATTTGTGTAAGAGAACCAAAATAAGCGGAGTTGATAGCATGAATCCTGTAAATTATCAAGCAATTTTATAGCTTTCTGTATTGTATAAAAGCTATCGATAAGATAACAAGAACTATTATCAAAAATTTAATAGGGTGTTATTAATTAATCCTAGCACAAGTAAAGAGTCAGCTAGACGAAAAGATAGAAAACGATTTAAAAATGAAATTGATTCTTTGTTAATAAAATTATTGCGTTCGTTCCTGTATTTTGTTAGTACTACGTTATTTTTTAAAACTTATTTGATATTATGGTCAAAAATCTGTGGAAATAATTTTTGTTAAGCAATTTAAAGCAGGTTAAAACATAGTTTTGTTAATTTATGAGTTAATCCATTAAATTTAGATTAAGATCCTACACTATTCAAAAGTTTAACTTTACTACTTTCTTTATTCCATCGTTTATATTAATAATTTAAATTTTATTCGACTAATTCTTCTTCATCACCAATTTTAAAAACATTTGAAATAATTCCACCAATAGCCTCGAGAGCGTGTAAATTATTATTTGTTTTTTGTCCACTGGCTGTTGGTGATTTACATTTATACATTTTCCATATTTTTTTTACATCAGCAGCCGAAAAATTTTCTCTTTGACCCATTACTTTAAGTGCTTGCGGATCTTTTGGTATAATTGTTGGTTTTGATGGATCAATTGCAAATGCATTTGATGAATAATGTAAAACACTTCCAGTATCATAACTAACTCCGAATGCCGTTGTTGTTTGAGGGGTAGCTCTTTCAAAATTATTATATGCAGCTTTTTTAACATTGTTCCAATCAACCTTGAAATTTTTTTTTTAAATCGAATGAAATATCGAATTTTTAAATTAATTTAAAAAATTTACCGAAACATAAGAATCTCTATCTTCTCTGTTCTGTTCATGTAAGAAACCTAAAGCATGCATGATTTCATGTAAAACTGTGCCAATTTTTACAACACATCCTGGTGTTTGTAAATTAATTACTTGAGCACCATTACCAACTCTTCCAACACTAGACCAACAACCAGTATTACCATTTTGAAATACAATATAATCTTTTTCATTACTTTTTGGTACAAAACGAATACATGTTTGTTTATGATATTCATTAAAGGCTGAACTAATTAAATTTAAATCATTTTTACCTTAAATAATAACAACAAAAATTAATACAGTAGTATCTATAATTTAAAAAAATTGTTGTTATTCTGAATACATACTGAACGATCCACGAATTTCATATGGTACCGTACCATCTGGCCATCTATAAACTTCATCTAACATACCATTTCTACCTCGGACAGCTGGTTTCAAAATATCACCTTCAAAATAACTTCCTATTTCTTCTGGATTAATTGTTGTTAGATTTAATTTTTTTAGATGTTCTCCAACTTCTGGATCTGGTGTTCCATATGTTCTGCCAACAACTTCAGATATATCTAATGGTTGTTCGTTTTCAAATTCAGTTAAATCTGTGTCACATTTAATATTTTGTATCTTAAGAAATATGATGAATATAGTAAAAATTAAATTTATTTTCAAGAACTCTTCCATATTGTGTGAAATTGCAGAAAACTTTGCCAATTTTCTGCAATAAATTTAGTATTTTATATTTTTTTTAAGTAAGTTAACAATTGATTTTATTATGCAATATCTTGTAGATAATGAATATGCAATTTTATATAAGTTAATTAGTCTAGACTTTTATACCTACTTTATATACTTCTTAATCTTAGTTAGAATTAGCCTATTTTGCTTATCAAGAAAAAATTAATTTGCAATGTTAAATTAATTTAAAATTAAAAAAAAAATATTTGAATTGCCGTTTCCATTTTATGCCAGCTCATTTTCATAATTTGAAAAACAAAAAAAATAAAATTATTTCGACTCAGTTTCTTAACTAAAAATTTTTTAGGTCACAGTTTTTGAATTACCGTATTCAAAATTTAATGAAAAATACTAAGTACATGACGCTTCTTCAATTCGTTGATATAGATACCCTAGAAGGTTTTGCATCTATTTCAAATCATATTTATACCTCATCACATATTGTTCTTTATATTATTAAAGGCATTTGCAGTCTTGGTTTGGAAAGCTTAAATTTTAATTAATTCGTATCTGATCCTGATGTGAATTTTGTAAACTACAAGCCAAATTAATAAGTATCCCGAATTCAAGTATGAGGTCTCCGTTCTATTGTTCGAAAAACCGTTCGAAAAACCTTGTTTTCGATGTAACCTTGACAAAAGACTTTGCAATGGCGAACAAAAATAATATTTAAACAAGTAAACGGAAATTTCAAAAAAAAAAACTGCAATTCAAATTAAGTGATTATTGAAGCAAAACGATTTACCACTAATTCATGGCTTAGTTCTAAAAAAATTTGCACAAAATGGTAATTTTTTATGAATTTTCAATTTAGTGCTCAAAGTTAAAATATTTTAAATTGTTTAAATTAATCAGAAACTGCAATTCTTATCTAATTACTAAATTAAACCTTGACAAAATTTATTTAATTTAAATTAATTTCATTAAGTAATTGTTAAAGAAAAAATTTAATTATATACAATTCGGGAGATTATTGCAACGTTTAAGGTGTGATTAAAGAAAGTGCCATTTAATTATCAGTAAATAGTGACTTTTGAAAACACCTTAATGGAAAATGTTTTAAGTGGCACTGTGTGAACTAGAGCTTGAAAAATTAGTGTTAAAAAATTTATAGCATTATATAAAGACAAACGGTTGAAAAGCTTGTGGTGCGATTTATCTAGGAAATGAGAAAGCGGTTATTATTAGAATCCGTTTGTATTTTGTTGCCAGTTTCTTCAAATTTAGATGACTTTTCTAAAGTTTCATGCAAAATAAGTATTTATGTATGAAAATGTTCAAAATATTCAAATTACAAAACTATGCTACCTCTTCATATTTTTCCTTTTGTTTTCAAAAAAATTCATTATTTTGTATAAAACAAAAATTCATTTTTCCCAAAGCACTGCACTTTTCGTTTTTGCTTTTGTAGGAAAAACTTTTTATTGCACTTCTTACAATTATTACAAAAAAATAAAAAAAAAAATATTATTTTTCTTTCTTCATCATTTTCAGTTTTAAAGAAAATTCTGAATTTAATTATAATTTTTTCTTTTCAATTTCAGTTTGTTTTATTTTTTTAATTTTAATTATAAAAACATTGCATTTTTATAAAAAGGATATATATATGTATGTATATATATGTATATTATCTAAGGGCTGTGAAAATGTAAAAACCAAAGAAATTTTTCGATTATAGTTGCTTTCAAAATGATAACATTTTTATATTCATGCGAACGTATGTTCGAAGGGTATACTAAATTTGCCTTACCGTTTGTAACGCTAAGAAATAGTGGTCTGAAATATAGATTTAAGTATATGATTTTAATCAGCATCGAATTCTGATTTGATTAACTTAAATAGTGGATTCGTTTGTCTGCCCGTTCGTCCCAGCGACAACTCAAAAAATAACAAATCTAAGTATTTCAAAATTTCGCCAATGATTTACTATGGGACATACCAGAATCCTATGTAAATTCGATATGGTATGGATACTTATTCGGATACCTGCCATAAAACTTCCAAATTTATTTGGAAAGCTCAGAAAATATTGAAGTTACAAAGCTGAAATTTTGAACAAACGAATTTTGTAATATGGCTATCATTTTCAGTAAAATTCTTTTAGATGGCAAGGGCTTATATGGTAACTATCGTAATATATGTATTAAATATCATATAGATATAGACATATAAAAAGCAAGAGGTTGTATGAAACCAATGTATGTCAATTGTCTCCGACATTTCAAATCACTTATTCGTACGGGTATCACAGAGTAAACACGGTCAACTATATCCATTCTCGTTTTTTATGAAATTTTTTTTTTGTAAACAGATTCCGCGACTTTTTATTTATTTATTATATTCTATATTTTTTCATTTCTAATTAATTTTGTCTTTGAAATACGCATTTATTATAAAATTTATGTTAAGAAAATTTGACAATAGAATATAACAACTCATATTTAAATTAAACTTTACTTTATGTATTTATGTACGAATAAATAGAGCGAGTAATAAGTACATGCGTACTATATACATATATGTCAAAATATAGAGAATATGAGTAAACCATATTTCTAAAAAAATTTTTTTTCTTGATGATCATTTGCATTTACTTGTAAGCGATTTGAACCGACAATTGAAAAGGAAAATCGCGAAATAAAAATAAGGCTTTAAACTTTTTTGTTGTAATTCTTTGTTTCTTACTTGGTTTATAGAAAGAATTAAAAACTTGGAGATAGTGAGCGAGAGAAGACAATAGATTATCTTGTTAGAATGTTATTGCTTTTTTATATGTATATGTATACAAAATTCTATATTTATAACTTTATTAGTTTTAGAAATATTTAAAATAAATTCCTTGAGTTGTATGGCAGCTACCCTAATCCGTTGTCGGAATTAGCCCAATTACAACAGGGTTCGTCCTTGGCACAAAAGAAACAACTTGTGAAAGTTTGGTGTCGATTGCATTATTCGTTTTTGAGTTATAGTGTGATCGGACAGACGGATGGACGGATATGTCTAAATCAACGCAGAATATACGCTGAGCAAGAATATATATATATGTCCATACCCCAGATCAACTACTTGAAGGAGTCAAGTAGTTACAAACTCCATACCAAAGTTAATATACCCTTCACGAAGTGCTGGGTTTAAAAAGAGAATTTATATATACTTATCAAAGTATTTACACTTATTTTGAAAGAGAAATCATTAAATTCTGCTGTGGTCAATCAGGTTCCAGTCTGAGTATCACGAGTTAAATATATTATAATTATCGAGTTTAACCAATTAATATAATATAAACTTCCTTTATTAATCTTGAGATTCCCTAAAAGTATGCAATGTATATTTCTAAGGCATATAGTTGTAGCTATAAGTATGTTTTATTGTATTTCGTAATATCAAATATTTGGTTCATATAGCATATTCCCAAATTTTATTTGGGATATTAATGTGCATGCGTAAGAAAAATTGGCGACTTAAAATAAACAATTTACATTAAAAGTAATATTTGTCATGGCAAGGAACAACATCTAATAATATTTAATTTTTGTATTATTTCAGGAATTATCGACCACCCACAATGTCTAAATCGGATGAATTTCAAAATCAACAAAGGTACACTTTATTTTTATGAAATTTTTGTATAATTAATTTTGATTTGAAACTATCACGTAAGCGAACTTCAAATTGCAGTCTTATTCTAGGACGAAAATATTGAAGATTGTTTTCCAAATAATTTTTCTCAAAATATTTAAACAGAATTTAATTATATTATGCCATTAAGCAGAATAAAATTTCTTAAGTAAAAAAGGAAAAATTTATAAGACACTATGGTAAAGAAATTAAAAAATATGAAGTAGTGTAACCATAACTACTACAAACCTTCCCTCATAATAGAAATAATAAATCATTACTTTAATTGTTTTCCGATTCAATATCATAGATTCATATTGTATTATTACAATGTAAAAGATGCAGAACTCCTTTTGTTTCTTTATAATATTTATTTAATTATACTGCAGGAACACAATATAGTGCACAATCGGGTACATTACGCTTCAATAATTAAATTGTATACAAAAATATGTTACTTGTACATATTAATATTATATTTTCAGTTATATTGATTTTCTCGACATTAACATTTTTTAATTCGGGAGCGTTATAAAACTAGAATATTTGAAGTTTACTTACAGTAGTAGTTCAATAATTTTAGTGCACTGTTACTTCCCAATTATTAATCTTACATAAACAAAATGGTGATCGAAATTACCATTTTTTTCCAAATTTTCTGATATAATTTGTTTCTTAGATATAGTCTGAGATGATTTCTTCTATAAAAGCATTAAATTTAAGGATTTTGCTTCATGAAAAAAAAATTCTGTATTTCACTCGCCTCCAAAAATTAGAAACGTTTCAATTTTGAATAGTTCTCTTCTTTAAAACAATTTAAAGGAAATCTGTTTAAGCTCTAAGAAGTAAGAATAAAATATTCCTATCAGAAAATACAAAACTACTTATATATTGTTTTAAGTCACTAAGTTTGTTTCTAATTGACCACCTGATTCGACTATATTGCCGTAATATTGTTTCTTTTTAATTTTGTTCTCGCCCCGAGAAATATGCAATAAAACAGAATTCTAATGATTATAAGAAAATAATGCAAAAGCAAAAACAAACATTCCGCTAAACTTTTAAAATAGTACTGGACAGACAATTGATATGCTGCCAGTTCATTTTATGTGTATAACAAAAGAATACATTCACAACAAGTCATGAAAATTCCGCATTATCGTTGTTCATTTGTTTATACATAAGCAGATATTTGAAAAATATCAAAACTTCAAATATGAAATCAATATCAGAAAGTACGTTAAGTTAAAAGTTATTGTAATCAACAAAGTTCAATGTACTCAAAATAAAGGATATTTTTTGAAGAAGAAAACAAAAAAGAGAACAAAACATAATAAAATGAGAAAATCGAAACATTTCTTTTGAAACCACACAATTTAAAAGCCTATATAAAAACTTTCTAAAAATAAGAATCAAAAAAAAAAAAAGAAAAACGAAAGAAATATTAGCATAACACGAAAACTTTTATTTAGGTTTAGTGCTTCACCATATTATATATGAAAACCTAAAATGTGGCCACAAAATAATTTGGTTAAAGGTTAACACCCTAAAGAAACACCAGAAAACTTTTTCCAAACAAAAAAATTTATTTCAAATTTTCTATACGTATGTATATATATATATATGACCCTACCTGAGAAAAATCAATAAAAAGTATATGAGAGTGCAATTATAAAAGAAACATGAAGAATAAAATTTTGTTGAGATTTTCATATAGTTACTAAATTGAGTTTAAAATAATTTCCATAAAAAAACTTTGTGTATAATTTTGATTAAAAAAAAAAATTTGTTTTTATTGAACTTTATAGAAATTTTTGATCTACTTTTTCAGTCTAATAACATAAATTATATGTAGAACTTTTGTATATGTTATCTAAATTATTTTAGCATTCAAGTGAAGAGTTCATGTCTTATTTATTGTTGCAGAATATTTTATTATATTATGTATATCCATATATAAAATTTGTAGAACAAAGTAAATAAAATATTTTGCATTTTACAAATAAAAATATTTTAAAAAATTTCATTAAATACAAAAATAATGCAATTAAATTTAATAGTATAATTTCTTTCATTATTCAATTCTCCGAAATTATCAATATAATTTTATCATATTGCATACTTCTTGGGGTATCTAAAAAAAAAAGTAGGTATACAGAATGAAAATTAGAGTTGATAAGATGATTTAACAATTAATGATATTAAACCAGATGAGTAATTATTTAAAAAGGTTTCGGTAAGGTCATTAAAAATAATTCAATAAATATATGATCACTGAAATGGTTTCAAAGATATCAGCTGTTATAGATACCAGATATTTTGAAAAATCTGTCCCAAATTCAGCCATTTTTCTGGGATAGCTTTTGAATCCTAATAATTTTAAATTTTTCAATTTGAAATAATTCTTTAAAAAATTTATATAGTTTATGTTAAAACGTCAGTTTACATTTTGATTTGTAGACGACATTTATTTGTTTCTATCTAAATCACATAGGCAAGAAAATTATTCGCTGCTATCCCTTCTTTGTGAACGCGATATAATAAAATACTGCAATAATATGTTAATAATTGAAGAGTGACGTCATTAATATCATTTTATTTAGAGCCGTAAAATCTGTTTTATCTTTTAAGCATACCATTTTTACGACCATGCGTCGGTTTATTCCAATATTGGTGATCTTTTTATAGGGACATTTACCTGCGGTTATATCGCGTCAGTTTCTCACAAATTTTATATTCTTATATCTTATATTTCGTCCAGACTAGTATTTTTCGCTTCTATTTTTGATGTTTTGACAAATACGACTTAAAAAACAATACGACTAACAATAGCATAAGTATTTTTTGATTGATAAAATTTGCATGTATTTAACCTGATCTAATAAAAGAGAACATTAAAAAATCTCAAACGGAGCAGTTTTTTTTTTATTCAAACAGAGTTTCTTATTTTTTTCTATTTATAATTAAATAACTTGACTTAAATTAGCGTTACTTAGTTTAATTAATAAGAGAGTATTGTTATTTAATTTCCATATGGAGTCAAGATAAACAGATTCGAGCCCCTATTTAAGCTAAACTTATATAGCAGATCTATATGTTTAATAATTAACTTCACCTAATTATTTTGTAATTATTGTGATTTTCAACTTTTTATAACTAAAATTAATATTATTCTTATTTAGCTCTTAAGGACGAAAACCACAACAAAAATACAACAAAAACCTTAACATTATTATAAAGTTAAGGAATTCGAATTGAATAAAAGAAAATATTCATTTCATTGTCATTCTGTTGTCAGTTCATTGATATAAAATTTTTAAAATGTCATCTTATTCAATTTTAGAAGAAGTTTATATTTATTGTTTTCATATTGTGAATGAAAAAAATTAAAAAAAATTATAAAAGGAAAAAAAAAATAATTTTAAAAATTTTTTTTAATAAAATACTTTTTTGCTTTTTTCTCTTTCTTTCTCATTTTCTTTATTGCTTTTTATTTTGTGGAGTAAAAAATTAATAGAGATTTTTTATTTTGAAAAGAAGAACGCCATTTTAATATCAACTTGTGTTATTTCTATTGTGTCTTTTAAATATTTAATTGCGTTTTTTTTTTTTTTTATTAAGTTAACAAAAAATTTTTATGATGTTATTCTAAATTATA